GGCGATGGGGATGTTCCTGGACGACGCAGTGCAATGCTCAGGTGAGGATAGGAGCCACGACGGTCATGGCGGTCATGATAGGGATGGGGCGAGTGAGAACTTGGGCGAGGGTGTTGCCTTACCGCATCGCTTTCACTTCTCCTCTCAGCAATTTGGGTCATGCGATGGTCATGTGTAGGCCGATGTGCCAGGTTGACGAGTCGACATGGCTCTTGAGTGAGCTGCATTGGTGGCAACGCTGGGAGATTGCGTTCATGATGCTCCCATGTTGCCCTTGTGAGAACTTCTCCGTTAACTTCCATCGGCCGAGGAGCAGAGTAGCAGGAATCGTAACTACTCAACGACTTGTAAACTTGTTCTTCAGCCTTGTCCCATTCTTCCTCGCGGTCTGACGATAGCGGGGTAAGCAAGGGATTGAGAATGCTTGCAAAGTCCATCGGATTTCGAGTTCCACGAGTACCCAGGAGAATGTTTATTGACAGTGTCAGTGTTGACACAAATCTAGTATCTATCATAGCGTAGAGTTTTGAGGTTTCGATATACTGACAGAATCGTTCTACAAGTGATTATCTCAGAACGAGCTAGAGTTCAGAAGTCGCAGAGACAACGTAGATGTAGACTGACAATGATTGCCCACACAGAAGTGATACGAGAATGTGTGATAAAGGAAGCGACATCAACGAATTAGCAGTGTGTTAACTACGCAGGTACGAGTCAGATAACAACTATCCAACAGACTAGGGCTATAGTCAACAGTATAAATACCAAGCCTAGGAGACCAAAACCAAAGTTCTAGGTCTGTCACAGGCAGAGCAGCTGTTAGTAACCTTGATACAGAACGTTCTAGCCAGAGAGACGGCCTCTAGAATGTAGACAGTGCAGGCTGCAGGGATGTGGGTGGACCAGGTGAAGGGAAAGTAACAGAACATGGTGTGGTGTGTACATCGTAGCATTGATCGAGATGAAATCATGAAAACTCACTCGATGCATCTTACCAAAAACCCCGGGTCGTCCCCCAGACATACTCAAGTAGGTCAACTCTCCTTTGTTCAATAAACCCAACCCGGGTTGATCCGCAAGCCAAAGCCAAGCATGTCAAAGATATGAGCTCTTGACGCAAGGCTGGCCTGAGAGACCTTACTTGTCTTGAACGATTCTCCCACACCAATATGACAGTGCTCTATTTCTCCCATGGCCTTTTGCGCAATCCCGTCTTCACGGAGCATCTCTCTCGTCGTACTTTGCAAATAAATAAATAAGCTTTTCTCTGCCAGAAATTTGAGAAAGAGACCTCGAATTATGTTTCGATTGAGGATTATAAAGAATGAAGTAAACGATCACTCCTAATTCTCCATGCCGCAGTAACGTTGCACTTGCAAAAGCTATATTTGCTCATGGCGACAGCTTGTTTCAGTGGCCACGGCCCAAGTCTATGTCTCAGCAAGCATACTTCGAAGTAAGATATTCCAACATTGTCCGCTGTCTTGGGGCACGGGGGCAGCTTGCGGGCAGCAAGGCACTTAAACATACGCCCTTCGAGACGAGAGATTGCATTGCTCCTTCCTCAAGTAGGCTCGGCATAGAATTGATTGCAATGCTTTCTCGGGCCGGAAAGGGAAACACGGCTATCATATATATGGTCGTGCGCTAGAGCTTTCCGTCATAAATTGAAAATTCGAAGTCTAGAATACCGAAAAAGCAAGTACGATATGCCATGCACCTCCGCAGACTGTGGGGGTGATGGGTTTGTCCCTCAAATTGGCCAGATCAACGGCATGTCTTGTTGAACGTACCACCGCATTCAGGGGTCTACGCCCATATCCCATCCCTTATTACCCCTTCACCTGAAGATCGTACACACAGCTCAGCCAGCAGCTGTCGTTGCAGAAAAGCAAACCAACAACAATCACTCGGCCTGTCACAACAACGGGCACCAACCTCTTCAAATTTCACGGATCTCTGACAAGGGGCCCCTTCCCCTGCAAACAAAACAATCCGTACAAGCACCGATTCATGAACAAAGAGATCAAACGTCGATCATTCGTTACCAAGATCTCGTATAACTCTGCTCTCTTCTATTAGTTGGGCTGGAAATGATACGAAGTATTTCGAGACTCTGGAGTTATATGGATTTAGAACTGGAGTCAGTTCTTCTGCTGTCATTTCCAACTCACAAGGCGTGCATTCGTGTCCAACAAGTACCAAATATGCAGGTCGTTTCCCTTGCTTCGCTGAGATGAATGCCTTGTTATTTCTGGGTTGAGTTCCAACTTTCTGAGACATCAACGGAGAGCGACCCGAAGCCACAACATAGGGCCACATCCCGATCTCGACCTGTCTGGTCCGATTATTGCGCTTTATGCGCTCGAAGCGCATTGGCTGAATGATCGACCGATGCGGAGAGTGAGACCGGAGATGTCTCCGGTAGGTACGCATGTCCATTCAGCTTCAAAGTCCCAGTTTCCGTAGGTCATTTGAGTGGAGGTGTTAGGGGCGTGATGTCCGAATACCTGACGACGTCATTTGAAAAGATCAATTGAAGCACAAATCGCAAGTATTCAAAGAAGGTTTATTGATCAATATGCTGCATCAAAGTAACTGTGACAGAGATCTGGGAGGATTATCATAAAGTGAAACACACAGTACTAGGAAGTGAAGAAAGATAAAAGATCCGCGCAAATCTCTACGATTCACATTCGTAAATCCCACCATCCAACGTAGCCGTCAAGTTTGAAAGTGCCAACAAATCGAAGTTTAATGAGTGACACAACATGAGAAAATAAACGTATGGGCAAGAAAGAGCCAGTAAATGTGATTTCTCTAAGAAACAATGCCGAAAGCAAAGGATCTGAATCTGAACAGCCCCCCCCCCCCCCCCACCCCAAACTACCTCGTCGGTAAACATCTATCGTGCGCATCTCACACCAGTATAATGCCGCAACCACTCTCGAAACCCAACCTAGGAGAGCTTTGAATCCCTAGACCGTGGCCGAACAAATCTTGCCAAGCTGAAAACAAACGAGTTGATCCATCCTTCGAAGTCTCGCTGCAACCGAACAGAACAGAAAGTTCGGGCATCAAGAACCCAACGTGATTCGTTCGAAGCTCTGCTCCATGGATTTCGGTAGCTTCAGACAATCTTAAACTCCCGAATATCTACGAGTCGTTCCCTCAACAGCTCGGGAGCCAGCCTTGGATCGTACACGGATTGTTCCCCCGTCTCCGAATTCTTGAACCAGATTTGTTCCCAGCCCCTCTCATCTTCAGGTTCAACTTCCAGTAGATTGTAATATCCGCCCTTGCACTGTCTGATTGCCTTTTGTCATTGATGTTTTCCACCGGACGACGCATTCTATCACTGCTTTCACACCATCCACTTCATCCCCCAGAGGATCATGGCTGTACCGAACCGCGTCAATGCCATCTCGTTAGGCCAATCCGTCAATCCGCAGATCCTCAACTTCTCACGAGAGGAATTTCGTCAACACCAACTTTCCGCGACTAAACAATCATACGACAAGATCGTTGTCGGAGCAGCTGTTCTTCGACATGCCTCAGCCTTCCACAAGATTCCAAGCATTCTTCTGCTGAAGAGGGCTGCCCACGAGGTCTATTTCCCTAGCGTCTTCAAACTGCCAGGCGGAAAGGTTGACCCAGATGATCCTACCATCAAGCATGCTCTCGTTCGAGAGATGCAGGAAGAGACGGGCCTAGAGATCAACAACATCTTCACAGAATTGAAACCGATGATATACACGACGGAGAAGGCGGTGGTCAATGATACCGGTCGAGAAATCCTTGTCTCCAAAAGCTGCATTCAGTTGAACTACGTCGTTTCGGTCGCGGACTCGGACGTTGATGTCAAGCTAAATGCGGAAGAGCATTCAGAGAGTACCTGGGTGACGGAAGGAGAGTTGGACAGTCTGGACATCACAAGTGCAATGAGAATTGTGATTCGGGAAGCGTTTGGGTGGGCTGCTACCAAGCGACTGGGCTAGAGGGTTTGGGCAAAGTTTAGAGCGCATGCAATTGTGGAGGGCTATCAGGTCATTAGATTGACAAAATTGGTGGTATGAGAAGTCCTGTGACTGCAATTGAACCTAACACGCCTAATCCCTTGGTTTCTTTCGAATATATGCCTTACTCATGCCTCTCCCTGTTAGTTCTTGTCAGACCTGCGATTCCAGATAGTATCTCTTGATGAGATACATCATGTCTTCAATGATTCTGCTTTACGTTAGCGCTGCATGGAAATGCCGATAGCAGATGATCGTTAAGAACCTCTTTCTGTATACAGGACGAGACGGGAAAAGAGTAGAGTCGTGGAGATTGAAACGTCTCAAAGCTAATTAGCATAGCCCACTGTTGCCACTATTATGTAAAATCACAAAGAACATAACTTTATTCTATTATCATACTAATCTTCTGGCTGAGATATGGCGAGGACAACAGTGATAGTCACGTGTCGTATTCCACGTGATGACATCCGGGTGACAAGCTGCTGGGTAATTGCACTAGAAGTCTTCTTGGAACTCCAAGGCACATAAAATGAAGAAAGGAATAAGGCCAACGGGTAAAAGCACACAACGTAAACTCCAAGCTTATCGATACCGAAGAAGGTGTTTCAGCGACCCGTGACGCTGGTGCGTGCCGCCTTGAGAACACCTCAATCTCTGTGCTGCTTCAAGTGAAAATTCAGTGGCATGGTACTCTGGCACTCAATCCGACCCTTGCTATTTTTTTTTAGATGAGAACGTGGACAGGATACTTATCTCTGTCTTTCAAGTGTAACCTTCAAGTGTTGTGCTTTTCCAAGATATGCAAATGAAGTCTGCTCAACCCGAATTCCTGAGTCAGCATTTTCCCACCAATGATCCACCAGCTCCGCCAACTCAGCGTGGCTTAGCAAATCTCGGATCCAGGGGTTTCACTGTTTCTTTAATAAATTGAAATAAGAAAATCAGCGGCATCACATCAGCTCTAAAAGGTGTTGATCACAGTCTTCTGTGGCGCAATTGGCTAGCGCGTTCGACTGTTAAGCTGTCCTAGCTACTGCAATCGAGAGGTTGGAGGGTAAGCACAAACTTGTACAGTGGTGAAGATCCAGAAAACTAACAGTTCATCAGTTCGAGCCCTCCCAGAAGAGTTAATCTTCGATCGTTTTTGCCTTTTGATGCAACCGCATCCGGTGTGCTTGAATCTCTTCTGCGTAGGCAAGGTTGAGGGGTTGTGGTTTTTTTTTAAGCAAAGTTTTGGCGATGTGCGCCGAGGCGAAGCCTGTAGCACTAAGTTTCCGTGAGGATTCAATATCTCTTTTATTTTTGACTCTCCCTCGGTGCCTTCTAGCCTGCTGCGTTGCAATAATGGCCTTATAGACAATGTGGAATTGATTGAGAGATATAACCCGACTCCTGCTCATTTGAAAGTTCCTCCTGTTAGTGAAAGTCTTGCCTGTGGCCAGTTTCCAGGACGGCCCAGGCTAGGATCTCAGCACTTGAAGTAGGAGATCAGTGATGAAGCAAAGATGCTCAGCTCTACTCCGAGATCACAGCTCAAATAAACAGGGCTCGGCGATGCTACATACCTTGTAACCTTTCACCCTCTCGAAGCAAATACTTATGCTTGTTCGCTGTTGCTAGTGGAGCCTAAGTACTGTTCTGTTGTTGTCTCGCTTAGAGGTTTGGAGAAAAGGGGGGAGCTCATGTCCAGCACTGGCATTAAATATTTGCTCACTTTTAAAATACACTTCCAAAAGTGTGGGATCAATTGCACTGTCATAATCTAAGTAATTACAGATTTCCTAGGTAGGGAGTTCCATTCTACAAGTTCAACATGCGATGGCGGTAGGATTCTCTCCAGTTCAAAGGTGAGAAGCCGTATTCACTTCTGGTATTCACTTCTGGTCTTGTCACTCTGGTTATTGTCCCGCCCATCTAATACCAAGAGATATTCATTTGATATATAAAATAGAAAGTATAAAGCCTTCGATTTCTCAACCTCAAGAGCTCAGTAACACTTTTCCTCTACTCGACTGAACACTAACAGTGCACGGACCAGGTCGGCCTAAGCTCCTCGATCCCCAGAATCTCGAAATGGCGAAGGGAAATATTAAGAACGTATCGCCTCGGGGAGGAAAGAAAGGCGCAACAAAAATGTCAGCAGGAGAACCTTCTCCCCAGAGAGAGGCGACGCCTACGTCTTCAACACCGATCAGCTCAATCCCACAAAAACGCGCCCTCGAAGATGATCATCAACCCGCGGTCTCCTCCCCATTGAACCCCGACTTCAAATCCAAACCTCAAGATGATGCTCCTCTTGCGCGCGAACGCGCATCAAGAGCCAAGAAGGAATCGCTGAAGAAACGCGAATCGAAAGCAGGATCTCTGGCACCAGATTCAAGCGCAAGAGCTACTCCAGACCCAAAGTCTTCGAAAAGCAAGAAGACCGAACCCGATTTGGCGCCCATTCGATACAAGTTACCTCCACCCAGATCTACAGACTTCGAAGTCCCAAGGGGGCCGGTTTTCATACCTGCAGATACAAGGACAGCTCCAGATGGCTCGGAAATCCAATTCAATGAGACCACTGACCAGTAAGCCTACGGACCATATGCGCTTCATAGCTAACAATTGCAGTGTCTACAACAAGAAGGGCTTCCATTACACCCATTGCATTGCAGATCCGACCTTCCCATCGTCTCTCTACTACCGACAGTCCGAAGCCGAACCCTTTACTCCCCGCTTGAACTTCGAAGATACCTCTACTCATATGTTCCTGGACGAGTCTGGCAAGCATGTTACAACAGACAAGGGCTTCAGAATGGCAAAGGCCAACGTGGGAGTGCGAGAGGGAAGGTGGTATTACGAATGTAGGATCACAAGTGGAATACCAAAGAGGAAATCAAGTGCGCCAGTCGAGTCGAATGGTCATGTACGAATGGGATGGGCGCGACGGGAAGCTACATTGGACGCGCCAGTGGGATACGATGCCTACAGCTATGGACTTCGAGACGCATCTGGCCAGAAAGTGTTCATGTCTCGGCCAAAGGACTTCTTCCCGAATAATGAGGATATCAGAGAGGGTGATGTGATTGGATTGGAGATCAATCTCCCCTCAGAGTCTCTCCATCGAAAGGTCGTAGAGGGCCATTACAACCCCGCAGTCGATCTTGAGGATGAAGGAAACATTGGGATTGAAAGGCCAGATATTATCCGCGACAGGGTCCCCATTCGATTCAAGACACATTTATACTTCGAGCAAATCGAATACCAAGCGACGAAGGAACTCGAGGAATTGATGAACCCATCGCCTATAATTCAGTCGACTGGCGGAGTCGGTGGATCTACACAACAGCCAGGCCCGACACATCCAGTACCTGCCCTTCGAACACTCCCCCACTCGAACATCAAGATCTACAAGAACGGACGCTATATCGGCACACCGTTCACCAATCTCCTATCCTTCCTGCCGCCCGCGTCGAAACCTCTCACACAAGTTGGAGCAAGAGAGGGACTGGATAATGGCATGCTGGGATATTACCCCGCAGTCTCTGTCTTTAGAGGTGGAGCCGCGGAGGTCAACTTTGGCCCTGACTTCTGGTTTCCTCCTGAAGAAGAAGGCGAGCCTGATGATGAAGTAGATATGATTGGCAGCGATCAGCCAGTAGCGAAGAAAGTGCAGAAGCTCAGAGCTACAGGCGACCGATTTGACGAGCAGATTGTGGAGGACATTGTGTACGATCTTGTGGACGAGGTTGATTTCTGGATGCAGGATGGTGGCGTTAGTGGAAAGGGAGCGACAAATGGCGTTCGGTCTTCAGCTGGAGTTTCGGCGCATAATGGAATGCTTGCTGGAGGCGTTTTGGGTTCGGAGGAGATCAAGGAGTTGGTTCAGGAGGACGACTGAGCTGGAGTTTCGGAGATCCTGATATTTGCAGATATGGCCAAAGGTACCTGGCTCCGTAGATGGTCAATATGACTTGAATGTACCAACAAAGATCTGCTGTCAATAACCAATCCTTGACATCTGCAGCCTTTCTTCTATGGCACTTAGGCGTCGTTCATTGTCCCTAACCAGTCCCATCACATCTGCCAGCATGAATCGAGATTCGGTAGTTTCTACCGCAATTCTGCGTGTTTGAATCTTCAACCAGTTAGTACATTTATTTTGTTTTGGCGGGGGTAATTGATTGCCTTCTGCAGTTTCTCTGCAATACTTTCAATTCCTCCTTTACTTCTCAACCACAACAATCGATGGAAGAAATCACACTTGTATTGCTGCTGAGTTGCATCAAAACTCCATTCCAATTCCTTCTCTCTCCCAGTATGGTGTGTGTCCAGAAATGGAAGCTCGTATCTCTTGAAATCATAAATCAGGTCCTTCACAGCATCATTGATAACTTTCGTCGGCCCACCCTCATTATACAGTAGTTTCGCTTTCGATTCTTTCTCTTGCGTCCCTTTTTCACGCCGTCGCTTTCGTTTCAGGTACTCGCGCTCTTCGTAGAGGGATTGACGGAGTGTGGAGAATGCGTCTCTAAGTTGTGATGGAGCTCCCGCGACTGTGAGGAAAGCTCCCCAGAAAGCGTGTATCCAGATCGCGAGAGTGAATGCAAAAGAAATAAATCCAATGGCAATGGATGCTACGCTGATGGGAGGGAGGGGTGCCATGCTTTTGTGGATCCATAGAGAGAGATGTGGGGTGGAAAGCTTGATTTGAAGGAACCTGGAAAGTAAATAAGAGCAATGGAGGCTCGGATCAATCGGATCAGACTAAACATCGGATTACTCACCCTATCCTCTAACCAGAAGATAGACTGGTTCGGGAAACTAGGGCTTGCAGTCGAGAGCGGCCTTGTTGATGGTGTCTTGCAAACAAAGATAACTTGAACTACGAGAGTCTGGAGATGGCTCGGTTTTCCCCGGAGAATTGCTGACTGGGCGTTGCACCAAACAGCCAATTGGTGGACCCGACTAGTCTTCCAGTTGCTATTATGCCTTGTTCTGCATTTCTATCTCTCTTGAGTTCTAATCTCTGGGCGTGGCCATCTTTTTAGCTGTCTGTAGTCGTTTTACTGGCTTTGGCCCTAAGCACTGGAAACCAAAAAGACGCCTTTTGTTTGATCCGAGTCTTCTTCAGGATCAGTCCCCGTCTGTTGCCTTTCGTGGTAGCTGATTTCACATGTTCTTCTTGTCTGTCAATTCTGAATTAGAAAAACGAGATTGGCTCGTTCCTTCAGGCCCATTACCAGGGCATACGAGTTCCTGCTGGAGGCTGAGTCTTCCAGGTTGATCAAGGGCTGGTGCAAGGACACGTGACACTATACGATGCACCGAGTACGTCAAAACAAGGGCTGTGACGATCCAAGTCATCCTTGACATGCCATCGAGATTAAAGGCGATCCAAGATGAGAGGCTAAAATGTGCCTTCGCCTCATCAGGTGACTACTTGCCGACCCCGCAAATATCATGTTAGGATTTGACATGGCTCCCAACGCCCTGGATATGATTCCCAGCATCCAAGGATGATTTCGAAGTTGTGTAGGATGCGCAATAGTCATGGCGTACAACGTAAGCAGCCATTGACGACTTGTTAGCAAGGCTGCGTGTCGACTACCAGAGGAGAAAATTTGTGTTTTCTTGCCGAGTTCATCTGGAAAGGTATAAGAAATCCTCAATCCTGCCATGACAGCCCTTTATTGTTTCTTCACAACACTTTCTTCTTTACAAAGCTTGTATTAAGCCACTGTTGGAGCTGCACCTTGAAACAGCCTGACATAATGCAGCTCCCTTCACTCGTCCTCTCCATAACACTCGTTGCATCTCGAGCACTAGCATTACCATCCCTATCACCTAGAACAAGTCCAAACATATACTGGGGAAATTGCACAGCTTCCGATCCTCCAAATCTTCAGTGTGGGCAGATTGAAGTTCCCGTCGACTACAATCATCCTCACGGTGTGCAATTCAATCTCACTTTTGCCCGACTTCAGGCTCTCAATGCCACAGATCGTATTGGCAGCTTGATTTTCAATCCTGGTGGTCCAGGAGGAGCAGCTTCCGATCTTGTATTTCTTCAGGTCCAAGGACTTCCGTTATGGAGCCCTGAACTACTTGCAGAGTACGACAGTGAGTATACCCAAATTCC